AATCTAGGCACTTCATTACATCTCACATTTGCTAAAAATAATGACCTCTCTCTTCCTACCAACATCTTTAAAATATTGCTTATTACGTGGTCTTACTGCTTTATCACTTTATGATAAACTGGGCATCCTTTCATTTCCCAAAACCATTTCTGAGATATACCTTATTCTTTACACAAAACCCTAGAAACTTTTAAAAGTTGTTCCTCTTTTTTTTTTTTTTACTTAATTCTCTCCTCCTTGCTTCTTTCCTCCCCACTGTTATTTTGTATTGTATATATCCATCTCCTTACTGAAATTTGTTTATAAGCATCTAAGTTAAGAGATGCCAGTATTATCCCAAACTAAATGTACTTGTTGATAATACTTGAATTTGTTTCTGTCATTTAAGCTAGGAACATTATGTCTGGAACTTTGTTTTGATGAATCGTTATTAATTTTAGGCATAAAGAATTGCGTTGAATTTTGTGTTATAATTTATGTCTTATTTAGTGCAAATTCTTGAAAGTGGTAAATGGATATCTTCCCAAATGAAATGTCACCTCTTAGAGACTGAGTTGCTTTGTTTTACTCTTTAAGCAATGTACTCAAAGTCCACAAAAGATTTTGAAGTTGTCTGTCAATTATTTTAATTCTAAAGACACTGTTCTTTGTATTTATTAAGGCAAGTCAGTGTAGGTATGACATGCTGATCCAGAAGAGTAATAATAGAAATTTCAGCATTTATGAAATGGCATAGTCAGATGCTAACAAATGACAGGGAAATAACTATGCTAAGCCCATTAGAGATATTTTTGTGTAGATCTAGAATTTTGGCTATGATTTTTATTCTGACTTAAGCATTTGCCCAGGTTTTATAAGGATTCTCAATAGTGAATCATAATGATATAGCTCCTCAAAACAGAAGGAATTAATCGTCGAAAACCGGGGTAGAAAAGACTGATTCATGTTTCTGTCATTCTGTTACAGGATGCAGATTCCTCTTATTTTAAAATCTGGAAGACAAAATATCAGTGAAGGAGTACTTGCATTTTTCAAGCCAATGGAAAGAGAAACGGAAAACATAACAACAGCAATTTTCTTATGCACTGAAGACTTACTTGTGATTTTACTTCTTAATAGATACAACTTTCCTTTCAACGTGTAATAAATAAGATTGCCAGGAGTCTTGCAATAAGGGTATTAATACATACTACATTCCTGGATTAAAGAGCATTTTAACATACTCTAGCATGTATGCTTAAAATCTAGGTTAGCAGAATGCCAACCAAAGAATTACAGTAATCCATTTAGCATAAATGCATGGAATATTACATGAAGCAGAGTGCTGGGGAATGGGCAGATATAAAGAAGTGTCTGAAATGGCATGCTTCCAAGGTGCTTACACTCTCTTGGAAGAGTTGACAGGTACAAATGACTGGAATTTGAAGCTGTAGGTAGGACTCATAGCAGCCATAATTTATTAAAAATATATGTCATTTGCTATACTGAGGTGCTTTGTAATTAGTTAATTCACTTATTTCTCATAACAGCCCTCTAAGGTAGGTGGTATTATCCACCTTAATAGATGAAGAAAGAAATGCCCAAAGCAAGTAGGTGTTACTTTCCCAAGGTCACAGAGCTCGTAAGGGGTAAAGCCTGGGTTAAACTCAGCTCAGGAAGATTCCATTGGCAACTTCTTATTATCATTAATTTTACTTTAATCTTTAGCACCTTATAGTAGAAAACATGCATAGGCCATAATAGAAGGGAGAAGAACAGGGGAAGAAAAACATGGTTCTTATGTATAAGCAGTTCACAGTTTACCTATAGACAAGGTAACACCCATAAAATAACTGGAATAGTTGGTGGAGAAGTTGGAGACCACCCTGGTGGCTATCTTTGGGAAATGGGGAAGGTGTAAATGGTGGAGTGATACCATGAGGTACAGCAAGTAAAAGCAATGGAATAAATGCATACATGGCAAGATGGATATATCCTAGCAGCACGGTGATGAGTGAAGAAAGTAAATGATGACTGTAACAATTCTGTTTACATATACTTAAATTTATGTGCACAGAAGATAGTGCTCATTTTGTCCACAGGGGATCCCAGATAACGGAATTATTAAACACAGGCTTGAAAATTATGTTTGGTATATTTAAAGATATAAAACACAAGATTAAGAATCTCAGCAGCAACCTAAGTGTCCACTGATGAATAAAGAAGATGTTGTGTATTTATATACAATGTAATATTACTCAGCCATTAAAAAAAGAAATCTTGCCACTTGATACAACATGGATGGATCTAGAAGGTATTATGCTAAGTGAAATATGTCAAAGAAAAATACCACATGATCTCACTAATATGTGTAATTTAAAAAAAAGAAAACAAGGGCTTCCCTGGTGGCGCAGTGGTTGAGAGTCCGCCTGCCGATGCAGGGGACACGGGTTCATGCCCCGGTCCGGGAAGATCCCACATGCCACTGAGCGGCTGGGCCTGTGAGCCATGGCCACTGAGCCTGCGCGTCCGGAGCCTGTGCTCCGCAACGGGAGAGGCCACAACAGTGAGAGGCCTGCGTACCGCAAAAAAAAAAGAAAACAAAAAACAGACACACAGCCACAGAGAAAACATGGGTGATTATTGTGGGGTAGGGGGCAAAATAGGTGAAGGGGATTAAGAGGAAAAAGCCTCCAGTTATAAACCCCTGTGGGTTTGTTCCTATTGTCTGTTGTTTCTCTTGGATTTGGCTCATGTTGTCTTATCTCCTCAGGTGCTTTATTTTAGATGGTCCAACATAAATATGAAAAATTATAAAAATAACTTAAAATATCCAGAGAAGATGTACATTTGCTCTGGGTATTAGCTAGGTACACTACAAATCCAGGGTCACCTTAATCCAGTTTTAGGGATTGAAAAGATTGAAAATGTATCTATTTTTTTTGTTCACCCTCTTTCTTTGGAGAGCCCTGGACTCCATTTTTTAACCCTCTAACTTAGTAGCAAGTCTGCCAAAAGTGTTATCTTCTCAGCCACCTCTTCCTTAATTGGCAAATATTCCTAGAAGAAAAGCAGCTCAAATGCTGAGCTCAGGTCTCTTAAGTTTCATTTTGCCTTGGATCTTGGTTGGTGATGTAATTCTTCACTGTCTTCTTGGTTCTCTGATACCTTTGAACAGACTTAAAAATATTATTTTGCCCAGCTTTCCTAATTCTCTGTGAGATGTCTCATGTGAATTACCTAGGCAGTACTAAGGTAGAAGTCAGAAAAGCTGGTATTAGGGCAAGTTCAATCAGGTCAGATATTTTGAATATATGAGATGGAGATAAATAGTTACATATACAGGTTCAGTGCTAAGAAGAGAGGTTGAGTACATGTATTTGAACATCATCGACTTATTGATGATATTTTAGGTCTTGGGAGTGAATGAGAATTGTCTGTGGTGAAATGTAGAGTAAGAAGAGGGGGCCTGAACCAGTTGTTAAGAAATTCCAAAATTTAGATGTCAGGTAGAAAAGGAAAAGCAGCAAAGGTGATTGAGAAGGAGTAGTCAGGGAGACAGGAAGAAAATGAAGATAATGTAGTGTCAGGGAAGCCCAAAAGAAAAAAATTCAAGGAGTTGTCAAATGTGTCAAATGCTACTTAGAGAACAAATAAGACGAGAATATAAAAGTAACTATAGTTGACCCTCGAATAGTGCTGGGGTTTTAAGCTGCATATAATTTAGAGTGGGCCCTCTGTATCCGTGGTTCCTCCTTATCTGTGGATTCAATTGACTTTGTATCTTAGTATTTACTACTGAAAAAAATCCATGTACAAGTGGACCTGCACAGTTCAAACCCACGTTGTTCAAGGGCCAGCTGTAGTTGGTTTGACAGTATGAAGGTAAACAACGACTTTTAATAAAAACTTTCCTTATCTGGGGGGATAGTAGAGATGGAATCCAGACTGGAATGTTTTGACAAGTGAATGAAGATGAGGAAACTTGGCCATGAAAAGAAATGGAGGGACATGGTGGTAGTTTGAGAAAAATTCATGGTAAAGGGAAAGCATGGCTTGGCACTATTATAATACTGAAAATCTTTAAACAACTTAAGATGCCCATTATTTGGGGGACAGTCTAATAATTTGTCATATCTATCAATGTTATACAGTCATTAAAACTGATAACTAGTGTTTTTAATGATATGAGAAAATTTCCTTAGGTGACAAAAAGGTATATATATGTAATTTTCCAGCTAATAAATCTGTTACATAAATCATAAGCCTGAGATCTGAACTCAGATGTAACACCAAACCCTATCTTATTAACTATACTATATTGCTTCCCCCAAAATGACTTAACACACGAATCTCGTGAATTCATTAATTGAAATTAGTCCAAAAAGCTATCCTTTAACACTGCTGTATTGAACTGTTCCACTTAATAAAGGAGTAATAGTAATAAAAACCTAATTGGTACATTTCAAATAATTTCAGTCATTACTAAAGAGAATGTATTACTGTACTACCTACTCAGAAGGCTACTACAGATTAAATAACGGGTACTACAGACGGAAATAAATAAGGTGTAGAGGAAATTCATGTCCCAAATGATGCGGATTCATTGTTCATCCTCCTTATAAGTACCTGTAAAAAGTTCTAAGCAGCAAAAGAGTGAAAATAAAAGCCTGATCACATTATGAAAAATTTTCTCCCATCTCTTTCTGCCTTTAGTTCAAACACCTTAAGACACTAGTAACTGGTAGTCCTACCGGATAAGTCGTTCTTCAGAAGCAGTATATTCAGTTGAAAAGAAATGCATGAGGAGCCAGATCTACAGAATGGCCTCTAACAGTCATAATCAGATTACCTTAATGTTGCTGATCCTGTGAGTATTCACATGATCAATGGGATGACCTTTTCCTTTCAAACATATCAAAAGGATACTTGGAAAAAAAAAGAAAGATTTTTTTGGAAGAGATTTTATTGAAAAATTTTAAGGTTTCTGAATTGAAGTATATGAAAAGAAAATGAATAGATTATATGGAAACAGACCGTGTTAAATATTAAAATAAAATAGCACAAAGTTTGAAAATACTATAAAATTTAATATTTCAAATAAATATATATACATTATGTAACCTTCAGTAGGATCCATTATCTTGACTTAAAAACACTGATATGTGTATCTTTTAAGCATGTAAAAATTACATAGTTGTTGACTAAGGCCAGTCACTTATACATTTAAGAAAGCATTAAAAAATTCATTATATTATCTTACACAAATGTTTTATATTTACCAAAGCCTACCACACTCAATAGGGCACAAATATTGGCCAACTAATTTTAACTTTTATGTTAGACATAAAGTTGTTGTTTTAAACCATTAAGATACCTAAGAGAATCAACTTTATAGAGCTTAGCTTAGGCATCTGACTTGTGGGAGGAGAGAGAGAAGTCCAGTGAAGTTATGAGGAATCATATTGTTAATTTTCTAGACATCTCATTTGCTCACAATACAAGTTAAAACGGGTTCTAAAACAAATGTATATGGAGAGGCTTTGAAGAATAAATTGGATATCCCAGGGGAGGATCAGCCGCTTGTACTGTAAGGTTTCTTAAAAGTAGTGGATGAGCTTGTATACTATAACGTTCCTCATCATCATTGGTGGCATAAAGCAATTCCCATGAAAGATTGGCCCACTGACCTCTAACAGCTTCAGCATTTAACTTCCCAACTTGGATCAATAATTCTTGAAGGGTAAGTACTCTCCCAGTGTAAACTCCCTGTAAAGAATAAACGAGGTGGGAGGGAAAGCAAAAGAAAAGAGATTATATTCAGGCCTTTATAAAATTAGAGAAAAATTCCATTGTAGTTAGGCAAACTTAAACAGAAAGTAGTGTATCAAAATGTACACGAGTTGCTTGTCTTCAGAATCAAGAATCACATCTATCTGATTGCTCTCCAAATAAGTACAAGAGAAAAAAATTTCCTGATAGCCACTGCACTCACTTCTCTTTACTTTCCTCTCTATTCCCTCATCTCATCTGGCCTCAGCAATGCATAAGTCATAAATACTAGTCAGTGAACAATCATCCAATAGGCTCTTTTCAAAAGCAGCTTTATTGAGATATAATTCACATTCCATATAATTTACTGATGTGAAATATATAATTCAATGACTTTTTAGTATGTTCAGATACGTACAACTATCTCCACAACTGCAGAATATTTTCATGACCTCAAAAAGAAACCTTGTACTCTTTAGCTATTATCCTCCTATCCCTTAATTTCCCCAGTCATTAGCAACCACTAATATATTTTCTAATCTAATGTATTGATTTGCCTCGTCTTGGAAATTTTACATGAATGGAATCATGTGTTTTTTTGTGACTGGCTTTAATTCAGCATGTTTTCAAGGTTGATTCATGTTGTAGCATGTATCAAGTAAATTCACTCCTTTTTATGGCCAAATAATATTCCATTGAATGAATATACCACTATTTGTTTATTCATTCATCAGTTGATGGACAGTTGGGTGTGTCCATCTTTCAGCAATTATGAATAATGCTGCTATATTTGAATTTTCATGTGGATTTATGTTTTCATTTATCTTGGGTATATAGGAGTGGAATTACCGGATCATATGGTAACTCTATGTCTAGTTGAGAAAATGCCAGAATGTTTTCCGAAGTGGTAGTACCATTTTACATTTCTGCCAGCACTGTATCAGAGTTCCAATTTCTCCATATCCTCACCAACGCTTATTATCTAACTTTTTGATTTTAGACATCCTACTATGAAGTGATGTCATTGTGGTTTTGACTTGCATTTTGCTGATGATGAATGATGTTGAGCATCTTTTCATGTGCTTATTGTTCCATTTGTATATTTCCTTTGAAGAAATGTCTATACAATCCTTTGTTATTTTTAAATTGGGTTAAGTTATGCTATTTATGGTCTAGCCCTCTAGTATATTTTTCATTTAGTTCTTTTTTATAATTTCTATCTCTATTGATATTCTTTCTCTATTTGATGTGAGAGTGTCATCATACCTTCCTTTACCTCCCTTTTTAAATTGAAATATAATTGACATATTAGTTTCAGGTGTACAACATGATTCAATATTTGGATATATTGTGAAATAATCACAATAAGTCTAATTAACATCCATCACTTCTTGAGATGAGAACTTTTATGATCTACTCTCTTAGCAATATAACAATATACAATCAGTATTATTAACCACACTGTGCATTGCATCCCCAGGTCTTATTTATTTTGTAACTGGAAGTTTGTACCTTTACCAATTGCACCCACTCCCACCCTCTGGCAACCACCAATCTTTTCTCTGTGTCTGTGAGTTTGGTTTTTTTCTTTTTAATTTTTTAGATCCCACAGATAAGTGAGATCAAATGATATTTATCTTTGTCTGACTTATTTCACTTAGCATAATACCCTTAAGGTTTATCCATTTTGTCACCGATGGCAAGATTTCCTTTTTTATGGATGAATAATATTCCTGTGTGTGTGTGTGTGTGTGTGTGTGTGTGTGTGTATATTTTCTTTATCCATACATCTGTAGGTATACAGGTTATTTCCATGACTTCGCTATTAAAAATAATGCTGCATTGAGCATGGGGGTACAGGTATGGTTCTGAATTAGTATTTTCATTTCCTTTGAATAAACATTAAAAATTGAAATTGCTGGATCATACGGTAGTTCTGTTTTTAATTTTCTGAGGAACATCCATATTGTTTTCCAGAGTGGCTGCATTAATTTACATTCCCTTTCTCCACATCTTAGCCAACACTTGTTATTTCCTGTCTTTTTTTTTTTTTTTTTTTTTGCGTTACGTGGGCCTCTCACTGTTGTGGCCTCTCCCATTGCGGAGCACAGGCTCCGGACGCGCAGGCTCAGCGGCCATGGCTCACGGGCCCAGCCGCTCTGCGGCATGTGGGATCTTCCCAGACCGGGGCATGAACCCATGTCCCCTGCATCGGCAGGCGGACTCTCAACCACTGCGCCACCAGGAAAGCCCTTCCTGTCTTTTTGATAAGAGCCATTCTAACAGGTTATGAGGTGATAGTGGTTTTGATTTGCATTTCCCTCATGATTAGTGATGTTGAGAACCTTTTCATGTCCCTGTTGGCAAACTGTGTATCTTCTTTGGAAAAATTCATATTCGGTCTACTCATATCCCCTGCCCATTTTAAAATCAGGTTTTTTTTTTTTGCTATTGAGTTATATGAGTTCTTTATATATTTTAAAACATAATAACCCCTTATTAGATATATGTTTTACAAATATTTCTCCCACTTTGTAGATTGTCTTTTGGTTTTGTTGATGATTTCCTTTGCTCTGCTGAATGAAGCTTTTTATTTTTAAATTTAATTTTTTTTTTTTTTCTGAGCCACACAGCATGTAAGATCTTAGTTCCCCAACCAGGGATCAAACCTGTGCCCCTGCAGTGGAAATGCAGAGTCTTAACCACTGGACTGCCAGGGAAGTCCCTGAATGAAGCTTTTAAGTTTGAAGTAATCCCACTTGTTTATTTTTGCTTTTGTTGTCAAATCCAAAAAATCATTACCAAGACCGATGTCAAGGAGCTACCACCTATGTTTTCCTCTAGGAGTTTTACGGTTTCAGGTCTTACATTTAAGTCTTTAATCCATTTTGAGTTGACGTTTGTGTATAGTGTTAAGACAGTGGCCCAGTTTTCATAACATCATTTATTGAAGAGACCATCTTTCCCCCATTGCATATTATTGGCTCTTTTGTCATAAATTAATTGACCATATATATGTGCGTTTATTTCTGGGCTCTCTATTCTGTTCCATTGACCTATGTGTCTGTTTTTATGCCAATACCATACTGTTTTGATTACTATGGCTTTGTAATATAGTTTGAAATCAGGAAGCATGATGCCTCCAGTTTTGCTCTTTCTCAAGATTGCTTTAGCTATTTGGGATCTTCTGTGGATCCATACAAAGTTTAGGATTGTTTATTCTATTTCTGTGAAAAATGCCATTGGAATTTTGACAGGGATTGCACTGCATCTGTAGACTGCTTTGGGTGGCATGGACATCTTAACAATGTTAATTCTTCCAACCCATGAGCATGGAATATCTTTCCATTTATTTGTGTCTTCAATTTCTTTCATCGATGCCTTATAGTTTTTAGTGTCTTTCACATTCTTTTAAAAATTTACTCCTAGGTCTTCCTAACTTGCCTTTCTGGTAGTTCATTATTAGTGTGTAGAAATGCAACATATTTCTGTATATTAAGTTTATATACTGCAACTTTACCAAATTCATGTATGAGTTCTAGTAGTTTTTTGGTGGTGTCATTAGGATTTTCTATGTATACTATCACATCATCTGCAAACAGTGACAGTTTTACTTCTATCTTTCCAGTTTCGATTCCTTTAATTTCTTTCTCTTCTCTGGTTGCTGTGGCTAGGACTTTCAATACTATGTTGAATAAAAGTGGTGAGAGTGGAAATCCTTGTCATGTTCCTTATCTTAGAGGAAATACTTTCAGCTCTTCACCCCTGAGTATGATGTTAGCTGTAGGCTTCTTATATATGGCCTTTATTATATTGAGGTATGTTCCCTTTATACCCACTCTGTTAAAGAGTTTTATCATAAATGGTTGTTGAATTTTGTCAAAAGCTTTTTCTGCATCTATTGAGATGATCATATGATTTTTTAAAAAATTGAAGTATAGTTGATTTACAATGTTGTGTAAGTTTCAGGTGTACAGCAAAGTGATTCAGTTACACATATTCACAAATACATATATATAATATATTCTTTTTCAGATTCTTTTCCATTATAGGTTATTACAAGATATTGAATATAGTTCCCTGTGTGATATAGTAGGTCCTTTTTGTTTATCTATTTTACATATAGTAGTGTGTATCTGTTAATCCAAACTCCTAATTTATCCCTCCTCCCCTTTCCTCTTTGGTAAAAATAAGTTTGTTTTCTATGTCTGTGAATCTATTTCTGTTTTGTAAGTAAGTTCATTTGTATTATTATTTTAGATTCCACATATAAGTGATATGATACTTGTCTTTCTCTGTCGGACTTACTTCATTTAGTATGATAATCTCTAGGTCCAAACATATTGCTGCAAATGGCGTTATTTCATTCTTTTTATGGTTAAGTAATATTCCACTGTGTGTATATATCTATGTATGTATGTGTGTATGTATATATATGTGTGTGTGTGTAAACTGGGTTGGCCAGAAAGTTCGTTTGGGTTTTCCCATAACATCTTACAGACAAACCTGAACAAACTTTTTAGCCAACCCAATATATACTACATCTTCTTTATCCATTCATCTGTCAATGGACATTTAGGTTGCTTCCATGTCTTGGCTATTATAATAGTGGTGTTATGAACAGTGGGGTGCATGCACCTTTTTGAATTAGAGTTTTTGTATTTTCCAGATATATGCCCAGGAGTGGGATTGCTGGATCATATGGTAACTCTAGTTTTAGTTTATTAAGGAATTTCTATATTGTTCTCCATAGTAGCTGCACCAGTTTACATTCCCACCAACAGTGTAAGAGGGTTCCATTTTCTCCACAACCTGTCTAGCATTTATTGTTTGTAGACTTTTTGATGATGACCATTTTCACTGGTGTGAGGTGATATCTCACTGTAGTTTTGATTTGCATTTTTCTAAAAATTAGCAGTGTTGAGCATCTTTTCATGTGCCAGTTGGCATCTGTATGTCTTCTTTGGAGAAATGTCTATTTAGGTCTTCTGCCCATT